TTTCAAACTATTATTGAAAAACTTACCACTTCGCCAGTTCTTGGCTACGCTGACGCAAAACTCCCATATCTAGTACACACAGATGCTAGTACGACCGGACTCGGTGCAGCGCTATACCAAGTGCAAAACGGTGTCACACAGGTAATCGCTTATGCAAGTCGCGGTTTAAGCTCTAGTGAAACTAGGTACCCTGCGCACAAGTTGGAGTTTCTAGCCTTAAAGTGGGCCATAACAGATAAGTTTCATGACTATTTGTATGGGAACACATTCACTGTCATTACTGATAATAATCCGTTAACTTACCTCTTAACAACGGCAAAACTCGATGCAACGAGCTATCGTTGGCTAGCTGCGTTGTCCACCTATAATTTTGACATCAGATACCGTGCAGGTACACAGAACGTTGACGCGGATGGCCTGTCTAGGAGGCTGCATGATAAACCTGAAGACAACTCAAAATTCACTGAGGAATGCCAACGACTAGATGAGTTCCGATCTCATCTTTTATCCTCTGTCAAAGAAGTCGAGCTTCAACTTCAAGCCGAAGCAGTGAAGGCAACATGCCAAAAGCACATGGTCTTGGATGAGACTGATTCTCCTTGTGGTTTAGTTCAGTCACTTGCCATGTCTGCAGCGGCCATTCCAGACCTATTCCAGTTGGAAGACAATAGTGACAGTTTCTTTGCTGTGCCCAAGTATAACCATGCTAACCTTGTCTCCTTGCAGAGGAAAGATCCAACCATTGGCCGAGTCATTCAGCTGCTTATGACTGACAATAAACCGCCAACTGATACTATTGCAGAACCCCCAGTGGTTCTTAACCTTTTGAGAGAGTGGAAACGGTTCGAGTTTCAAAATGATTTACTGTACCGGAGACGCCAATTAGGACCAGAGACATCATTGCAGTTAGTCTTGCCTGATTCATTACGTTCAACAGTCATGCAAAGCCTACATGATGATATGGGGCATCTTGGGGTTGAACGTACGACAGATCTCATTCGGTCCCGTTTTTACTGGCCAAGAATGGCTAGTGATATCGAAATCAAAGTTAAAACTTGCGAAAGATGTATCCGTCGGAAGGCCCTCCCTGACAAAGCTGCTCCAATGGTGAGTATTACCACCACCAGACCTATGGAGTTAGTTTGCATGGATTTTCTCTCCATAGAACCAGACAGTAAGAACACTAAAGATGTCTTAGTGATTACAGACCATTTTACAAAGTATGCAGTGTCCATCCCAACCAAAGATCAGAAAGCCACCACCGTCGCGAAGAACCTGTGGGAACATTTTTTAGTCCACTACGGGTTTCCTGAGCGTCTTCATAGTGATCAGGGACGGGATTTCGAATCACGTACAATCAAGGAACTTTGTTCTTTACTTGGTATCCGTAAAGTCAGAACGAGCCCTTATCACCCTCGTGGCAACCCCGTTGAACGGTACAATCGTACATTACTCAGCATGTTGGGAACTTTACAAGCCACTGAGAAACATCACTGGCGCGATTTTGTAAAACCACTTACTCACTCGTACAATTGTACAAAAAATGACGTGACGGGATACTCTCCCTACGAGCTAATGTTCGGTAGGCAGCCTCGGTTGCCTATAGATATTGCCTTTGGGTTACCGCATTTGAACAAGCCCTCTATAACTCATTCTCAGTATGTTAAAGAACTGAAGAGTCATCTGGAACAGAGTTATGACATTGTCATAAAAAACTCTCAAAAAACAGCGAGGAAGAACAAAGAACGGTTCGACAGAAACATTCGTGAGTCCACACTAGGTGTGGGAGATCGTGTTTTAGTCCGAAATCTTCGCTTAAGAGAAAAGCATAAATTAGCAGACAAATGGGAGCAAACAGTGTATATAGTTCTCAAACAGATGGAAAACTTGCCAGTATACACTGTAAAACCAGAGAACGGAGAAGGACCCAACAGAACACTCCACAGAGATCTTTTACTGCCTTGTGGTTTTCTCTCTTCATTAGAAAATGAAACAGAACGCGTTACGAAACCTAGCAGACCTCATACAAGACAGAGTTCAGCCTTAGAACCTGACCCAGATGAGCCACTTGACGAAGAGGTAGATGAGTTTTATTACTCTGATCTTCCACAAGTGCTAAACCGACCATCCTATCAAATAGCGGTCACCTTGCCAAATAGGGAACTCATAGCAGATTCAGGACCGGTAAATAATATTCAACAACAAAACACACTATCCTTACACACAGGGGATCGCAAGGAACCAACCTTAGCTGGTAATGAAAATGCTGAATTGTCCTTACTTGACAAAGGCATCAACACCGAAACATTCTTACCTGACAGAATGAGTGAAACTGCGACATTCTTACCTGAAAGAGTGAAAGAAGCAGCAACATACTTACCTGAAAAAACGAAAAAAAACGAAGTATACTTACCTGACGTAGAAACGGGGGATGAAACTAACACAAACCTACCTCAATTGGATGGTGTCCTAAAGTCGCAGCAACGTGATGTAAGTTTTGAACCCATCATACACGATCAGACACATACATCTGAAAAGACCAAAGTCTTAGAGAATAGCTCATCAGCTCTGTCGGAAACAGAGAGCTCACTTCGTCCTGTCTCAGTTGAGAATCAAACCGAAACGGATGAGCATGATACTGTGCAACCAGAGATGTATGTCAGGAGATCTGAACGAAGTAGTCAGCCTCCTCAAAGACTAACTTACTCTCAATTGGGCAATCCACTAGTGACCGTAGTTAGGTCCCTTTTCCAAGGACTTAATAAAGCTTTTATTGACTCTCTTACTCAAGAAGTTGTGTACCCCGTAGAAACAATGCACAGGGACGTGCATGATATTTAATGGGGGAGGATGTAACCCAGAAGCTAGAACCTTAATGAGGTATTAACTAATTGGCTTACTAATATGATCCATCCTCAATTTAGATAAAATATAAAATATAAATTAAGGAAATTAACAATACTAATTAATAGATATCTAATTAACTAATAGATAATTTCATAATGAATTATTGGAAGGGTGAATAACTAAAATAACGAGTTTAATATTAAACATCGGTTAAAACAAGAATCTTGAACATCCCTAACAGAAACAGAAGAGGAAAGCTGTATACTATTGGTCCAGGTGGGAATCTGAAATTTCATTGGCTGAGAGAAATAAGTCCCGCCTCCGCGAAATAAAACCGTGCGACGCAGCTGAGCGAGAGGAGAGACAAACGGCTGTGCAGCACGCAGATACAGAAAGCAAAGACTGAGCGGTTAGAGAGAGAGAGAGAGAGAGAAAAAAAAACAACGGTCGAGGCCGTGAAGAACCCTGATTTGGGTGCCGCATAGATAGAGGGAGAGGCGGACTTGACTCCTTCTAATAAGAGCTAGGAACTTGGAACCAACGCGGTGAGTAAAGAAAAAAGAAGAGAAAAAGCTAACGATGCAACTTAAAAAAAAGGAAACTTAAATAGCTTATCAAATTAATTCCATTCTTATAGATTTGTGTGGAGACGACAGAGTGAACCAATCCTCTGTAGGAGGGAACCGTTGGAGCGCGTTGGTGAGTGAATGAGATTAAATTCAGTAAATTATTAAATTCAAAAAGCTAATTACAGCAACCGAGGTGACAGCAGTGGGCTGCTAGACGTTAGATCCCAGGAGTTAACATCTCAAACTACCAGTTAACGGTGGTAGGGCATATAGGAGTTAACGGCTCAAACCGCCAGTTAACGGCGGTAGGGCATATGGGATTCCCAGGAGTTAACGGCTCAAACCGCCAGTTAATGGTGGTACGGCCTAGATGTACAAGGTCCTCAGGGGCGTTATAGCTAACGCCATAGAATTAGCAATGCGTCCCTTAACCAAACATTTAATAATAAAAAAAATAGATAAATAAAAATAAATAAAAGCTAACTGATTAGGGAGGAATTATTTTACAAAGGTGGACCAAAGGACCAGAATTTATATTTTGTTTAATTTTGTTATAGAACATTTTATTTATTTATTTATTTATTTATTTATTTATTGTGTTACAGATATACAAGGTGTCACAATGCTGTATAGAAACACAACTAAATGTATCCTTGTTGTCATGAATGTATTTCTTGTTGAATAGTGTAGAGTAATAGAATCTAACTGAGCCTATTGAGCTGAACAATTGTTGTCATATGTAATTATATTTCCAGAGCTACTGAGAATTATTTTAATAGACAATCAAATTGATGTTATGTTAGTTGAACTGTGAACCCAAACATGATTGGCTATGCCAATAGAGTGAAGCATTTGTTTAAGTCTGTAAGACTTTATGCTGTGATGTGACGAGAAGGGTCGATGCCAACTCGCTAACAGTCCTGTTGTTTACAGGCTGGGTTTTTTTTTTTCCTTGGGTTTGATCCCGACTCCTATGATCACTCACTTGGAACGAGAACTGGATTTCTTCCTGACGAGGGAGATGGCGAGCCTTAACCACTGAACGAACCAGGACATCTCAAGTAACTGAAGAGCAGACTGCTCTCTTCTGTGAACAATCTCAACGGTGCGGTAGGAAAAAATCGCACCACCGGACTCTGACTTTCACCCCAAGCGTGGGGATTTGACTTGACGCCGGCTGACTTGTGACTCATATGATCAAATCTCATACCGACCATTTTACTATTGTCGATTGTTTTCATCTGTTTTTGTGTGTTATCTTTATGTGTTATATTTCCCATTATTATTAAAATTTAGTATATAAACCGTTTCATGCTATACCCGTGACTCCAGTCATTCTTAAACAACCTCCAATTCTCCCCGAACCTAATTATTGGCCCATTTGTTTATTTTTTCTTTTAATTATCTTATTGTATCCTGTAATCCGGTTACATATACATGGTCATAGAGCACAATATTCTGTGACTCTTCAAAAAGCTGTAAAAATGCTCAAAAACACTGGCAGTGAATGAGTTAACTGACAAAAGTGAATCTGACTTTTAGCTTTTAACATAACATGCTTTGAAACTGATTTAGTCTTCTCACCAGCTGGTGTGGTCATAGGCGCAACCGTTTCGGATTCAGCAGGGCTCTGGCCCACAGGGGCAGGTTGTGACTGCTGCTTCAGGCTAACAACAAACTCATCATGCTGAGACTTCAGAGTCTGAATCTGCTGCTGGAAGGCCAGCTGGATCGGCTGCACCACGGCAGCATACTCCGTTATCAGGGAGGCCTGAGAGACAAGGGAAAGCAGTGAGAAACGTCCACGTCACAATAATTAATAACATCAACTTTGCTTTTCTAAATGTTGGGTAAATAATAAAGAAAAACATGAATGAAAAACCCATCTCTCTCTCTCTCTCTCTCTCTCTCTCTCTCTCTCTCTCTCTCACTCTCTCTCTCTCTCTCTCTCTCTCTCTCTCTCTCTCTCTCTCTCTCTCTCTCTCTCTCTCTCTCTCTCTCTCTCTCTCTCTCTCTCTCTCTCTCTCTCTCTCTCTCTCTCTCTCTCTCTCTCTCTCTCTCTCTCTCTCTCTCTCTCTCTCTCCCTCCCTCCCTCCCTCCCTCCCTCCCTCCCTCCCTCCCTCCCTCCCTCCCTCCCTCCCTCCCTACCTACCTACCTACCTACCTACCTACTAGGGTTGTCACGGTAACCGGTATAGCGGTAAACCCCGGTAAAAAAGTTGACAATAAAAATAACCGTCCAGTTTTTAAAAACTAAATTATCTCGGTGGGTTTACCGTGGCCGTGGTTTCGGCGCGATGACCCTTACCAGCCACCGTCGCTTCAGCTGAAGTTCCCGCGCGCGCACACGCACTTTTTAATTTGCAACAGCACCAAAACTTTGAAGCTGAAATAATGGCCGAAGGAGGCGACGGCAGCGCCCAGGACATCCATCAGCCCTCAAAGAAGACTAAATCGGAAGTATGGGCATATTTGGGATTTCTGAAAAATGCTGAGGGACAGTTAATAGAAGACGGCTATCCCGTTTGCAGAACGTGCAGGAAACAAGTGTCTGCAGAAGGCAGCAACACTTCGAATCTAATGGCACATCTGCGTGACGATCACCCACGTCTCTACAGCCAGTGCAAGGTAAGATAACATTAGCATTTTAGCTGAAATGCATGACGTGAGGACTTTTGGTTGAGGGAGAATGCAACGAGTCACTATAGACTGCAGCCGCAGCGTCCTCTGCCAGCATTTAAACCGTGTCACGGACACCCTGTTGCTGGATGAAGCATCTTATTTGTTGATGATGAAGAGAAATATACAATTAGTTCCTTGTCATTGATTTGTTTACTTATTCAATGCCATTTATACTTGAACATTTGGATTTGATTACATAGTGTAGTAGTTATTTTAGTAATTTGTTTAAAGTGGCTATTTATTTTAAATACATATTTTTTAAGGTTGACTTGTACAGTGCTCAAGTCAAGTGTGGACTGGAGTTTTAGATTTTCATTTTGATAATGAAGAAAACAAGTATATGAGGAAAACAAGTGGTGTTTCTTTGATTTGTTTACATATTGTTTATGTTTTGAATGTTTGGATTTGTATAATTTAAACCTGCACTGACTACTGTAACATGTTCCAGAAAAATAAGCTATTTGTTCCTTTACTTGTGAAAAGTTGCACTTTTGCTAAGGCTTTGTGTTATTTTAGGTTTAATAAATACTGTTAAACCTTTTCAGAACTATTTCAGTTTGTGTAGAACAGGACTATCAATGCTTTCTGAACATATGCAACACCGTTTAAAAAATACCGCGATAATACCGAAAACCGTGATAATTTTGGTCACAATAACCGTGAGGTTAAATTTTCATACCGTGACAACCCTACTACCTACCTACCTACCTACCTACCTACACCGACTTTGTGTTTTCTCTACACACCTGGTACTGTCCAAGGCCCAACGCTGGATTCTGGAGCTGCTGAATGGTCTCCTCATCAAAGTAGCCGTTCTTCTCCCATAGCTGCAACAACTGTAAGGAAACAATGATGTTCAACATTTTGTGGAAGAGACATTTTCATCTGAAAATAAGTCCCAAGAAGTGTTACCCGGGTAATCTTCTGCTGCTTTTCTTCTTCTACTGCAAGAAAGCTGGTACAGTAGATGGGAACAACGACCTTCTGCAGAGCTGTCAATAAATCCTTCTGCTGCTTCCGCTGGCTGTGAGTCAACATAAAGCAGATCACATTACAGAAACAACAAAATCATATTTACTTTTATCACCAAGGACGGAGTTCTACACATGAATTGTTTTTAAAACCAAGATTGATGTTTGTGTCACAGTATACCAGCTTTTATTGTGTAATTATTTTAAATTGTTTAATTATTCATTTATAGAAATGTTTTTTACAATACCAAAATCATCGTTAAAAAAAAATTCTGATGCGTCATCTGAGGTCATACAGCGATGTTAAAATCCAGAAGTACATTTAGCAGAGGCTGTAAACCAGAGACGGACGACAAGCTCCTCAAGTTTGGAACAGCTGACCAGCAGAAATAAAACTTCTAACGGAATTTAAAGTTTTAACGACTCCAAAGAGAATTAATCTGGGACTTTTAACTAAATCTGAAGTTTCTGCTAAAGGAGTTAGAAGAGAACATCTGTTGGCAAGATGACATCATGCATCTGATGGGTGAGGTTTTAGGAAGGTTTTGTTTACCAGTGGTGAAGAACATCATTGGTTAAGTAAATGAGGTGAAGGCGGAGTTCAAAATGAGCGTCGTCAACAGTGATGCGGTTCCGAAGATGCGACGCCATCAGCTCACAGTGCTGCAGAGTCTTGGCATTGGTGAACATCCAATTCTTACCAGCCTGAGTCAAAGAGGAGAAATAGTGGGATGTCCAAGTCTACGCAAGGCATGGTCTCCGTGGTAACATGCTTACCGAGATGGCATCTTTGGTGCAGGTGTCTATGATTGGCTGCAGCAGGTTGTCGAACTCTGTGATGTCCAACTGGGTTTCAAGCAGAAGCTTCTGGGTCTGTTGCTCCATAGCCAAGGCGATGGCAGCGGTTACTTGTTCCTATGGAAAAATTAATAAATTAATTATATTATTTCAAATTTCTTTTCTAGCAATGTTTCTGTGAATGTAGCAGGTGTTACGTTTGCTACTGAAACGAGTACTACAGCCAGTGAAATGTGTTTGGTGTCTTTAAAAAACAACTTTTTCCTCTTTTACAACATGATACATCTGCCAGCTACTGTTTGACACTCAGACATATAAAAGTAATCTTCTACAATCTTTGTGCGTCGCTTGAAAACAAGAGGATCTGTTCTTTGCACCTGTCTTAGTGTGTGCAGGTGTTGCTCCTGCTGCTGCATATTCCACTGGCTCTGTTGGATGAGCTCATCGACAGGGGGTGCAGCTGGTGGAGGAACTGTAGGTGGAGCAATCATCTGAATTGACAAAGGAGGGAGGTCCGCCACATCTTTGGCAGTGGGGATGAATATATCTACAAAACACCAGGAGGAAGAACCATAAACTCAAGTCAGAAGGTTTGGGGGACTTAAATCAAAAACTTCAATAATGTATGCAGCTGAAGCTCAGGCACAGATAATCCATGAACTGCTCAAACTGCCAAAAGGCCATCATTATGAAGGATTTTCATCAGCCCCATCATGGAGATACAGCTAAGATGACACAATAAGATCTCAAAACAAGGAAATTCGCCTGAAAACAAAACAAATATCTTCAAAGTCTAAAATGTCATGTCTAGCTAATTCAATCGCATGATGGCTCTTTTTTCTAAAATGAGACTGAACGAAGCCACGAAGAACACTGTAACTTGGTGGTCTGCATGTCCAGCCTGAGACGGTGTGCTTGAACATGTTTGTGGCTGCCAAACTGGTGGACAGTCCTTTTCACTACGTACGTTGTTGTTGCTCCATTGCAAGTCTGCACTTGTAGTAGCTGAAGTAATCTCCACCAAAAAGAAAGGAAAACTTGGGGTTGTCCTTCTGTTTCTCCATCGTCATCTTTTCAAACTCCGGACCATTTCGTGCAACAAACTGTGCAAGTTTGTCAATCACATTCCTCAGTTCCTGATCTGAAATGAAGAATTTGGGTTAAAAAGACCAAACAAAGATTTAACTATGATTTACACTAAAATGTCAAATGATATTTTATGTTTGAAATCCTAAAAACAATTAAACTTAATTTTTTTACCAACATTAAACCGGAGAAGCAGAACTGAGGCATCTGACCCAGACTCGGTTCTGTGTAACCCCAAGGATCAAACACCAACTTGCGCAAAATATTAAAAACTATTTCCTCTCTGCTGCTGCTACTGAGGTTTGGTTTCTCGTGTAAGGATACTTTAGGAACGAGGTTGAAAAGATATACAAATTTGGTTCGACACACAGTTACCTCACTTCTCTGGATTAATCGGGATTTTACTGAAAATGTTAGCAACCAGGAAAGTTAATTCCACTAAAACGTAAACATTGAAATGTAATTACGGCTGACTAAATGTTTCTAATTTATTATAACAAAGCTTCAATGTAACCTGGACCTGAAAAAATTGCATAATATCAATTAAATGCTGTCTCAAGCTAACTGTAAGGTAAGCTAACGTTAGCTGAGCAAAATAGCATCACGCTGAATCAAATTAGAAACGCAGCGGGCTTCCGCTCACCTTCAGGCGGATTGGGGATTTCCATGACGTTATGATCACTCAGAATGTGTATAAACACCGGCCAGTATATATATCGGACACAAATATGTTAATATTTAATTTGTGTTTTAGCCTTTTATCAAATTGTCCTCACAGAAACATTGGCGTCGTTTGACCCTGCAAAATACCGGAAATTGTAAGTAGAAACAGCGCGGGCCCAGCTGAAAACTGCAGTCTGACTGCACATAGCACCCCCTAGGTGTAGGAGGGGAAACGACCGCATATTGGGAGTTTTGAACTGGTTTTGAAGATTTTCATAAATTTCATGTTGCTTTGTGGCCTTAGCCAATTACATTTCAAAGCTATCAGATCTGGAAAGTTTCCAGATAATACTGAATGAAAAAGATACCATTGCAGATCGTAAAACTGAGGATTCATGAAAAATATAAGAATACCTAGAAATTAACAATAAACTTAAAATTTCGACTCACGGAGAAACTATTGTTGAAGTAATCACTCATCTGGAGTGCCGTTTCTCACAAAACATCACCCCTCAGTCAGTTTTGGTTTCTGAAGTTCATCAGAAGTTGAAAACTTGAAAATAGGATTTAGAGGTGAACCCAAATGAGTCCAAAATAAATTTCTCATGTAACAACCAAACAGAATGAGACAGAAATTTTCTTGGATGATTTTAATTATTTTCTGACAGATTTTGCTGTGCACATTGCTGACTGCAGTATGTAACTACAAATTTATACATTAGACATTTTTGGCAACCCTGCTAAGTACAATTTGAGTCTTCAGTAACTCACTGGTACTGCCTCCACACAATCGCATGGTGTCCTGCACAGCTGGATGCTCATCACCTGGCTTGGTAGACAGAGATCACACGGTTCATCAGCATCAACAGACGTATGCAGACTTTCCAGGATTCTCCTCTTCACCATAAATGTCATTTTCTTTGTCAGAATGATAACAAAAGGAGATTCATGTCCGACTGTCAAAGAAAATCACACGATTAAAGAGTTGTGCCTTTGTATCCAACTGATATGTAAACTCTGAATTAAACCAATTTAAACTGGAAATAATACCAGTTGAACAAGATTTTGTTAAATCACACATTCCTTCCTTGCAGGTTCATGTGAATTTGTGAAATTGGCACAAATTTACAGGATGTACAAATAATCAGTTCATTTTAAACAACCAGAATCACAATTAGAAACGAATTTCAAAAAGTGAGGTATAGTGCACAGTGAACGGTTTCCTTTGAGCAGCTTCAGAAACAGTCAAGAAAAAATGGTTTTATCTCAATGTGAACAGATTCAACCAGAAACTCATTCAAAACAACTTTCTTAGCTTTTCTTCCAACATCTCATTTTTAAAGCGTGCCTGGTTAGAAAACTAAAGTAAACAACTTTCTTTCCCATACAGGATGATGCACGGCTGCAGCTCTGAGATGAATACAGATTATCTGAATGAAGAAAGAAAAACCATGTTAAAATCAATAAAGTTTTAGTAGAAAAGAATTTGGTTGAGTCCTTTCAGTAACATTTGTCACGATTTACAAACTGTGAATGTGCTCTGTCTTTAGTCATGCTTCAGCTTTAGCCCCTCAGAGTAAACATCAACCATAGAATCCATTAAATAAATCACTGTGTCATCATCAGAAGGAAAATAACCAAAACTAAACAACTTCTGTCCAAAGCAAAATCATTTTAATGTAAATTTTATTTAAAAAAATGTATATAAAGATTCACATTTATCCACCTCATTCCTTTCCCCCAATAATAATAACAATAACAACAACAATAATAATAATAATAACATCATCAACATCAACAATAATAATAATAATAATAATAATAATAATTATATTATTATTATTATTATTTTATTAAGTAATTTATTTATTTGTTTATTTTAATTGCCGTTTTCGAGGGGTCTTAAACTTATATTCGACACTATTTTGTTTTACACAAAAATAAACGTAGCTTTACGCAGTAGGGATGAACTACTGACCACTCACACTCCAATCCACTAGGTGGCAGTAATGCACCAGCGTGGTGTTTAAACGCTGCTAAAGAAGAACTGACGTTTTTCGCTGTGAGACTCTCCGGCCACGGTGGGGTCTGTATACAACTGTCCTTCTTCAACTTGTCAGCAGATCTCTGTGATTGTTTCTTGGTCGCTTGTGATAAACGTTTAATTATAGACGGTAAACGTGATAGTTTTCCACCGGATACCGGCGCCTCTGCTGGCTGACGGTGTGCTCTCCCCATTAGCCGTGAGTGGGCACAAACGTGCTGCTGGGTGATAAGTTACAGTGGCTTTTCTGACAGAGCTACGGAATAAGTAATTATTTGATTGTCAGAATGGTCTTCACCTGTTTCCCCAGTAGGTGTTTAAACTGGTGATCAACAGCGGAGTAACGGCTGTATGTTTCTGGGCTGCAGCATGGCTACCGTGGAGCAGGTAGCGGCGGTAGGACGAGTCCTGGTGGACCCAGCACGGAACCTGACCCAGCGCTTCAGAGCCTTGTTCACCCTGAGGAATCTGGGAGGTAAGTCTTCTGGGTGTTTCTGGTTTTGGGTTGATGCTTTCTCACATAAACCGAATAATAAAACCACTAACTACAAAATATTTAAGAACTTGTTGGTTCATTAGACCCATGCTGGATGTTCCAGGTTTCCTCTAGTGATGAAGAACTACCTTAGTATGTTTGTTATTGGTACTGTATGACTGTGACTAGATCAACCATCCCATAATGTCAGCTGTTCATCTACTGATCATCTGCTTTTTATGTTATCATAACAGTCAGACTACTGGGACCGTAACTGCTTTGAAACAAAACCCGAGAGAATATTTCTCTCTAACATCAAAGGGTCCAACACACAGCTGGAAAAGAACCGCACGCCGGACTGATTCAGGTTGTTTTTGTCAGGTGCTGAGGCGATCGAGTGGATCAGCAAGGCCTTCACTGATGATTCAGCCTTACTGAAGCACGAGCTGGCCTACTGCCTGGGACAGATGCAGGACAAAAGAGCCGTTCCCATTTTAACCCATGTTCTCAAAGACACAAATCAGGAGCCAATGGTCAGGCATGAAGCAGGTAAACAGCCTCACACAAGGAAATGACTCAATATCAAACTAATTGTTACAATAAAAACCGATAATTTCTGGAACAAAGTACACTCCTACCTGCTGCTGAAAACCTTTCACCGTTTCTTTGCTAGCAGAAAAGGATCCTTTTAAGAATCAGTTCATAATCTGTTTTGATTTATTTAGTTTTTAATATTTAGGAGGATGGTTAATATTTGACATCTAAGCTGCTGCTGGATCTCCATAAATGGTTATGCTATGTTTGTGGTGTCCATGACAGCTACTTTCACCCAGTCGGCCTTTGTTCATGACAGAATAAAAGAAAAGGATGAGAAATTAAAGCATCTCTGATCGTCTCGTTCTGTTTGTCACTCTGTGATCGTAGGGGAAGCTCTGGGAGCGATTGGTGATTTAGCGGTTCTGGATCTACTAAAAGAGTACTGTCAGGATCCCCGTATAGAGGTAGGAGCGCTGAAAACAACCCCCTCTGATCTGAGTGAGTAAACACCCAGGAAACCAACTTGTAGTTGGAGTTTATACTTTTGCTGAGGTAAATATAAATATACGTATTAGTCACTACAACCATTTATGCCCTTGTAGCTTTTTTTTCTGTTTGTTTTCTTCAGACAGCTCAAAGTAGTCTGAATAGGAAATGGAGCAAGTGTGTGGACAGTATTAGGATTAAGATCCCAATAGAACTAATAAATGTCTTCTTGCATGTATTAAATAAAACGTTAGCAGAAGCTCCAGACATTGTAGATGATCACTCATCCGTCTCCATGTGACGTATCCCTGTCCACTCACCCTTCTCTCTCATCTGCAGGTTGCAGAGACGTGTCAGCTAGCGGTTCGGCGGCTGGAATGGCTGCAGAACGGTGGAGAGGGGGAGCTGGAGGATGGCTGTACGGATCAGAACCCCTACTGCTCTGTTGATCCAGCCCCTCCAGCACCCAGGAGTAGTGTACCAGAGCTGCGCTCCACTCTTTTGGATGAAGGTGTGCCGCTGTTTGAGCGCTACCGTGCCATGTTTGCCTTGCGGAACCTGGGCACAGAGGAGGCTGTGCTGGCGCTGGGAGATGGTAGGATTCGTTCAGTCTGTGTACCACACTTGTTCCACAGCTGAACTGTGACTTAAAAGTAGGGATGGGTACCGAATTCGGTACTTTTTAAGGTACCGACCGAATTCCACAGTACCGACCGAGCACCGATTCACGTCATTTCAAACGGTGCCTCGTTTCGGTACCCGTCCTTCATAACGAGAACTTGCCAAGACAGCTGCGCATGCGCAATAGCGTTATGTCGTCACTCGCTGCGAGCCAGTTGTAAACAGAGCAGCGTGGTAGAAAGAACGCACGCTAAAGCTTGGGTCCACTTCACTAAATGTGATGGGTAACTGGGTGATGATGAAACCAGCGACAACGATCTAAGTGAGACATCCTCATCTGCTCTGGTAGGTAAATAAAATTAGCTTGATATGTTAGCTTCCGTTTTGCTAATGGTGCGTTCACTTTCTCCTCGGAACTCCGAAATCCTGACTAGAAGAACATGAACGCGCTCTAAAGTTTGGCTTCACTTTACTAAATGCGACGGGTGATTGGGTGAAGATGAAACCAGTGACAACGATCTAAGTGTGAGGCATCATCGTTTTAAAATGCTCCAGCAGCTAAACTGTTTAAGATAACGTTAGCTTGGTATGTTAGCTTCCTTTGCTACCATTGTTATCAACTAATGGTGCGTTCGCTTTCTCCTCTGAAATTCTAACTTCCCAGTAGGAAAAATCAATTGAAAAAGGATGGTAAAAGGAATGAAGATACACAGTAAATTTAGTTCACAGTAAAGATGTTTGCTTCAGTTTAATTATCAGCTTATAAAACTACAAGGACGATGTTAAAATACAAACAGTTGAATGTTATTTATCCTGATATTTATCAAATATTGTTATATATTGAGAAAAATATATAATTATAAAAGAATTAAAATAATAAACACTCAAAAGTATCGAAAATTGGTACCGTTAAGTACCGGTATCGATTCGTAGGTACCGGGAATTAGTACCGAATCGATTCAAATGTCAAAGGTACCCATCCCTAGCACTGCCAATGGTAAAATTTTATCATATATTGTGCCTACCGTTGCTCTGGAAGGTGTAAATTAGCACAAAGCAGGCCCGTTAAAATCTGAAAAGTTTAAACTAGGTTAGCGGTGTAAAACCAGTCATCAAATTATAAATGTAATAAAAACAAACATGGTTGGTAATTTACGCCAAATTTGCAGAGATGATAGAAATGACTGAACTTTTGTACGACAATAGAAATGCACCCATTTAACTTTACGCAGGTGAAACGCGAGACATTAGAATATCATGCACAAGGTCATTAATGTCAGTAATTCCACCTAGAAGGTGAAACTAATACATGATATGAATTCTAATCAGGACAGTACAAAGATATTTTTCTAAGTTAGGATTAATTACATCTGACACATTTATGGTACATTTAATGACGAGAAAAGAATCTGATTTTTAGCTGAGACTGGTCGAACTGGAAACCAGCAGAAGTCTGTTGTTTTGTGTGCAGGCCTGCAGGGCTCCAGCGCTCTGTTCCGTCATGAGATTGGATATGTTCTGGGTCAGATGCAGCACCCGGCAGCAGTACCGGCCCTGCGCGCAGCTTTGGAGCGTTCTGGTGAGAACCCCATGGTCCGGCACGAGGCGGCAGAAGCCCTGGGCTCCATTGGGAAAGAGGAGTGTCTGACTGTGTTACAGTGTCACCGTGGAGATAAAGAGCGTGTTGTGAAGGAAAGTTGTGAGGTGGCCCTGGACATGTTGGAGTATGAAAACAGCGACCAGTTCCAGTATGCTGATGGATTACTCCGACTGTAGGATGAACTCTAACTCTGCCTTTTAACCAGAACTGCAACGCAGCCTAGCAACACACAAACGGAGCCTTCAGGAGCCTATTGGACCATCAACTACGTCCATTGTTACCCTCTATGGATATATCTGTCATTTGCAACAGCTTTAGAATGACTTAACTCTTGTAAAAAACTGGTGGCATTCATGAGTAAAGTCTATTTATTCTAACAAGTGAGGATTCAGTCTTTGTTATAAAGTCAAAGTCAGTTTTATTTTCAATTCTACCACATGTGCAAGACATACAGAGAAATGAAATTGAGTTTCAGTACACACAATTCAGAGATCAGACATACATGGGCAAGACACATGACAAGAATTGGTGACTGTGGTCCTTCGCAACACGAGTCGCGCTACCTTAAAAGATGAAAAGGGAATTACATGAGAATAAATTGGGGGAGGGAAAAAAAAAGGCACACCAGAGTTACTCCCGGTAGGGTGTAGCTTTACTATGCAAAAAAAAACGCCTCAAACATATAAGCACGAACATCAACAGTTCACAACATGAGACACTGAGAGGAAGGGTGGGGGGGGGGTCTGGGATCCTGTTCCCCCAGGGCGAGCAGCCCTGTGTGGCGCTCAGCCAGCTGTATCCACGGAGGGAGGGAGATCTTGGAGGAGCGCAGAGCACATTTGAGTTCCTGCAGGTGGATGACCTTGCTAGGCAGAAGTCCACAATCTGAAGGCGGGGGGGGGGGGGGGGGGGGTAGGGGGGGGGGGTAGGATGGGTTTTCACAGCCTCTGTCTGCATTCCTTCCTTCGTGGGGGTTGTTGTTAGCAGCTCAAGGCTGCCTTGGTGTCAGATTTGGATAACAAGACTTTGTTTAGGTCAGGCAGAGATAATTTTCCTCTCTGCCTTGAAGACTGTATTGATCATTCAAGTCCTCCAGTGAAGCCAATTTAGGTACTAATCATCCCCACACCGTCCGGTGACCCTCTCCGAGATGACATCCATTTTGCACACTAATACCGGTAACGCAGCAAGGACATTGTCCAGCTTATGATTCACCTCGAGTAACGTCCCAGTCTGTGAGGTCATCGCCCGGGCGGTGCTTTCCGTGGGTGCGGGTCGCACTCCAATCGCTCCCGTCTCCCCAAATTTCTAGAAAACCAGACATCCTCCCACTCCAATCTGAAGAAATCCAGTGATCATCAAGCCAAATGTCCATATATAATTAAGGATACTTGTTTTTACCAGACCAGTAGAGGACCTGAAGCATAGGATTCATCTTGTGCAATCTAACATAATGGAGTCACTTGGTGGCTATTTGCACCTTGTGTCTTTTGCCAGGCTTGCCCCCCACGGAGGTCAGTATTATTCAACACTGTCAAAAGTTAAACAAGGTGGACAATGGCGCTAATAGTTACCCTTGTAAGCCTACTGGTTTGCTGGGACTGTGGCCCAAGCAATTATCTCTGGACACATTACACTGGATCTTCTGACATTCACACAAATCTGAAAAACATTGGTAACAAAGGAACTTACTCTATGACTTTCATGACTGTAAAACAATCACCAGTTCTACCCGAGCAGGATATAAATCTATCGCCAGTTCTGCCCAGAGATTTACCTAAGCTACAAAGTTTTATGGTTCTGTATGATCATTTTACTTGTTCGTTTAATAGTCACTAGCATAGTTTCTAGGCAGCAAAAGACTGAATCAAAGGTAAATGTGAAACAAAGAATGCTGATTGTTTTATCCTACTTCTGTCTGGGAATGTACAACCAAACCCAGGCCCTGAACCACAATGTGCTAAAACTCCTTCTGATTTTAAATCATTATCTGGTCTTAAATACATTCATTTAAATGTGTGCAGTTTACTAAATAAAATGGACAAGGTCAGAATCCGGGTAACCTCAACAGGGGCTGACATTGTTATAATATCAGAAACCTGGCTAACTAAATCTGTTACAAATGAAGACATTAATATAGATGAGTTTAATGTATATCGCATGGACAGACCAAAAAAAGGAGGTGGAGTAGCAATCTATGTTAAATCCAGATTTAATGCTTCTATAGTTCTATCACAATCTATTTGTAAACAAATGGAATTCTTGGCCTTGAGTGTAGAAATAACAAAGTCATTTTCAAGCATAGTTGTTGGGTGCTACAGACCTCCTTCTGCCCCAAAAGAGGCACTACATGCTTTAAAAACAGTTGCTGTCTAAATTTTCTTATACTGAACTACTTCTGGCAGGGGATTTCAACTGGGATTGGACAAAGGAAACTTCTGATGAGTTTAAAAGCTTCTGTGATTCTAATGATCTTACCCAATTAGTTAACCAACCTACTAGACCGAACCTCAGATATCCAGAAAAGTCAAGTTTAATTGATTTGATTTTAACAAATGTGGCACACAACAAGTTTACTTCAGTTGGCGTCTTTTGTAATGATCTTAGCGATCATTGTGTTGTTGCAGTATGTAAGGATGTCAAGATACCAAAATGTAAGCCACGTATAATTTGTAAGAGGAATCTTAAACATTTTAATGAACAAGCTTTTCATCATGATTTATCAGCAGTTAAATGGGGAGATATAGATTTATTGCCAGACGTGGAGCTGGCTTGGACTTTTTTTAGAGAAAGTTTTATGCAAATTGTACATCGACATGCCCCATTAAAAAAATGTAGGACTAAGGGCCGTGAAAATCCTTGGTTTTCACCAGAATTGGCAAACATGATACATGAACGAAATAGAGCTTGGGACAAGGCAAGAACAACAGAGTCGACTACTGACTGGTCTGTTTTCAGGTAGCTAAGAAATAAATGCACTTCCCTGATCAAAAAGGCAAAATCTCAATATTTTCTATCAGTCACCACAGAAAATCTTAAAGATCCTCAGAGATTCTGGAAAGTGATCAAGTCTTTTGCGGTGGAAAAGATTTCTCAGGCTCTTCCTACATTTGTTCTTAGAGATTCAGTTCCAGTTTATAACAGACTCGAAATCTTAAATTGTTTTAATGAACATTTTCTTTCAGTGGGTTCCCTGTTTAATTTTGTAGGAACCCCTTTGATAAAACTGGCATAATACCCCCAAATTTTTCTGGAGCTCCTTTTAACTTTAAACCTTTTACAGTGCATGAAGTTCATAAAGCTTTAAAAAACATAGATCACAGAAAGCCACCTGGACCTGATTTTATAGAACCTTATTTTTTAAAGATGGCAGCGGATTATGTGGCAGAGACACTTTCAATTCTTTTTAATCTTTCAATTAACTCCAAAGAAATTCCATCACAGTGGAAGTCAGCATATGTTTTACCATTATTAAAAGGAGGAGATCCAGCAGTTTTGACAAATTATAGGCCAATATCAAATTTAAGCGTGCTTTCCAAGATAATGGAGTCACTTGTCAGTGTTCAGCTAAAAGAGTTTTTGTCTATTAACGAAATCCTCTCGAAATGTCAATCGGGTTTTAGAAAAGGGTACAGCACTACTACAGCTGTTATGAAGGTGGTAAATGATATTATAGTAGCACTTGATAGGAAACAGTTTTGTGCCTCACTGTTCATAGACCTGTCTAAAGCTTTTGATACCGTTGACCATGCTATTTTAATAAACAGATTACTAAGCCTTGGGTTGTCAGAACACTCAGTAGCATGGTTCTCCAATTACCTGACTATCAGGACACAGTGTGTTAAATGCGAGGATATTTGCTCTGATTATGGGGTTGTCCAGAGGGGGGTGCCCCAGGGCTCAGTCCTGGGGCCCCTCCTATTTATCTTGTACATCAATGACTTGGGCCAAAATATTAAAGATGCTAATATCCATTTCTATGCAGATGATACGATCATCTATTGTTTTGGAACATCACTTTCTCAGGTTGTTGAATCCTTGCAGAAAGCATTTGACTTAGTCCAGCACTCATTGCATCAGCTAAAGCTAACCCTTAATGCTGAGAAGACTAAGTTGATGTTTTTTACAAATAGGCAAATACCGAATAGTGTTCCTAAACTAATCACATTGGAAGGGAAAGTCATAGAGATGGTCCATGAGTATAAGTACCTAGGTGTTTGGATAGATAACTCCCTTACCTTTAAATCTCATATAGATAAACTGGTGAAAAAATTAAAACTAAAGCTGGGTTTCTACTTTCGTAATAAGTCGTGTTTTTCTTTTGAAGGAAAAAGGCAACTTGTCACTACTACCTTTTTATCTGTACTAGATTATGGTGATCTTATATATATGAATGCTTCTTTAACTGTGCTACAAAAACTGGACTCGGTTTACCATGCGTCTCTGAGATTCATCACAAACTGTAGAGCCATAACACATCACTGTGAATTATATTCACGAGTGAAATGTCCGTCATTGGCAATAAGAAGACAAAATCATTGGTATGTTTTTATTTACAAGGCAGTGTTTGGATTGTTACCTCCTTATATTTGCACTTTAATCACACAAAAAAATGTTGATTCCTATTCTTTAAGGTCTAACGATCAGCTGCTACTTTCTGTTCCTTTTGCTCGCACACAGTTAGGAAAGAAAGCCTTCGCCTGCTCTGCTCCTTCTGCTTGGAACCAGCTGCAGAAAACCTGGAAATTGACTGAGCAGGTTTCACTAAATGCCTTTAAAACCAAACTGAAAGCTTCAGAGACTGCATTAGTAACTTGTAACTGCTTTTAATGATTGAGTGTTTTATCATTGTCATTACGTTGTAGCTGTTTGTATTTTTTGCTGCCTCTTGGCCAGGACACCCTTGTAAAAGAGGTTCTTAACCTCAATGGGTCTCTATCCTGGTTAAATAAAGGTTAAAAAAAACATAACAGTTAGTGGATTTACTCACTTTTAGCTGTCATGACATAACAGAACCACAACAGTGTCATTCAAGTCTGTAAGATTGTTTAGATCCTTATCAGCTCCAAGTGAATGAGAATGACCTTTGACCTTTCGCAAAGGTAAATGATTGTCATGAGAAGTTATCAGTAGATCTGGGGGCTCTCGGAGTGTGGTACCCGAAGAGGACCCAGGTACATACGGTCGCGTTAGGAGAGGCTGTGGAGGGAGTTTAGCTGCGTTGGGCATCAGACGCCCGCAACTAACAAAAGGTACTTTGTCAGTCCTGAAAACTGAAACAAAGAATGTTTTGGACCGTACATTTGTGTAGGCGTGGCTTTGCGAGGGATCGGCGCAGGTGAGCTCTCTGGAGGGCCCTTGGTCGACGCACAGGTGCAGTCAGAGAGACTAGGGTCTGCCAGTAGTGGTACAGGGTGGCAGGCAACCCCCCCCCTGTGGTAGGTGGATCACCCCCCTCAGTAATAGAGGTCACCAGCGCCAGCAGTACCGGTGGAGGAGGGTCAGTGATCTCAACAGCCCCCCATTTGGCAGGTGGTGTTCCCACCGCAAGGTACTGGGCCACGGCCAGAGTCTCAGCGCCACCATTAACTCCCCCATCGGCAGGTGATGTTCCCACTGCAGGGTTTGGAGTCTCAGGTGGAGTGTCACCGCAACCTCCTTTCAGAACCATCCACTTGAGCAGGTCGGGAGTATATCACAGGGCTGTGCAGTCATATTTATGTATTTGTAAGATGAAGTCTTCTGAAAACCGATGAAAACCTAGACATTTTATCAATCTATGAAATCTTCCCAGATGCCCCTAATAGCACATAAAAAGCAAAAATGTCACGGAAAAAGAGGTTTGGTCACCTTGCATAAAGTGCATGGTTGTTAACCGTTATTGCTAACCATTACCAGTAGATGAGAGAAACATTGCCCTCTTCTACTGCTAGCCTTGTACTTACATTTGCCGTTAATCCAACCAAACTCTGGCTACAACAGGCAAAATAGTGTTATAAAATTGTTTTGTATGAGTGGTGTATAATTGCGGTCTTTGCATGTTTACAGGTTTTCTGTCAACACCAATCCATCCTTCCATCTTCTTTGCTTATCCGAGGTCGCGTTGCGAATATGTGACATAACAGATAATAAAATCATCATAAACTCATCGAGTAGATTCGTTTGGTGTCTTTAAGATCTGAAACAATGCATTTTAACAACAGTTATTTACATTCATTACCGTCAAGCAATCAAGTCTTATTAAACTTACTTTAGATAAAACATTCATTGGTCTATGGTTGTAATTAATCTGTAAAGTGGGAAAATCGTTGTATAAAACAGAATATTAATCTTTTAAGGTTAAAAAGTCTCGTCTTCTCCAGGAGTCCTGCAGCACAGATAAGGAGCAGGAGAGGAACTTCGTTATGGCGGTTCCCCAGATGGCGAGGTCATAAACAGAGCATTTGTTCTGGTTTGGAAAGCACAGTTTACCTTTAGCCCACTGATGAAGATGGCTGGGCAGTGTAATGACTTTTGGTATTACATGGCTTTCTTACACTACAGTGTGAATGGCCTTGGGGGGGGTTGGAGAACCCTAGAAGGTCCTATACAAATACAAGACATTTACCATTTCGAAACGTTAAAATAATGCTCTTTGGTTCCCTTAGATCCGTTTCACTCCCACAGGTGTGGTCCTTGAGGTGTTTGGACCGCTCTTAGTCCGAGCTCTAAGCTGAGATCATGTTGCCATGGGAGACAGGGGCTGATGGCCCTGACAACACAGCTTACAGGATCATGGAGCTCCTCAAACCCTTCCACCACGATAATGCGGCGATTCTGCGGAAGGGATTTTTTTCTCTTTGTTATTTTTATGAGTTTTTTTTATTATCTGTTTGTTTTCAAACCTGTTTGTTTAATTTTCTTTTGGTTTTAGTTTTAATGCTCATATCCATCTACATCCTAGATCTGTGTTCCTATGAAAGCGTCGGTAATAAAGACGTGACAAACACTAAACAATGCAAAAGTCAGAGTTTTGTTTCTCAGCTCGTTGATGTCGGCTTCTGAACCCTAACCCTAGCCCCCACCCCGCTCCGCCGTTTAGGTTAAACTAGAAAATCCCTGAAAAACTGTTAAGGAACCTGGCACACATTTTCTGTTGGAATTCCCCTTGCCCCGCCCCTTTTGATGATGCCAAAGCAAATCATTAATTATTTGGCAGGCCAATTAAAGAGGCATTTTTACAATGGTGTGTGCCAATTACATTGCCATAAATTGTCATGATGGGCTGAAGTCTCTTAACCCACATGAGAGAATCACACACAGATAAGGTGAGCGATGATATAAATGTCTTTATTATGAAGGAAAACAAAGAAATCAAAGAATAGTAAATAAGAGCGCTGATCCAAAGGGACAGGAAAACAGGACGACTCCGACTATAAGGAAAAACACAATGGTGTGAGTGGCAGAAACCGAGAACCAGGAAAGTATAAGATAAGAGGAGCAGGCTTACTGAATTGAGCAGGGTACGAGCTGGAGGGAGAGGCAAGTCAGGCTGATGCAGGGTGGAGGTTGTCGAAGGAGAAGGGTTGGATCCAGGAAGGCAGGTGAGTGGTGGAGAGCGAAGGCCAGAGAACCGAACAACGCCGAGATGAAAAAAAAAAAAAAAAACACACCTCAGGCAGGCGGAGAGTATCCAGGACTGGGGCAGACAAAAATGCAGATCAGGTTAGAACAGACAAAACTAATTTTCAGGTATCTCTGATTTAGGACAGGATCTACCCAACAATTGAGTATCAACCGGCGTTGAGGTGTGGGAGCGCTGTTCCTTAAATCCTCTGGCCAAGCTGGAGTTAATTGGCTTCAGCTGCAGCTCCCCAACACACTCACCTGCAAACAATGAAGGACAAACCACAGCAGAAGACAGCAGAACCATGACATAAATAAGTAAATAAATAAATAAACTAGAAATACCCTGAAGAAATTTTAAAAAGGGACCTGCCCGCGGGCACAAGATAGTGGTCATGTATTATAGAAGCCCAAAATCATGATTTTCAGGTGACATTGGGGTAATCACCCAAATATCATGATATACAATACTTCCCACGGCCGAGCCGGTCGTTTTGATGTATCATGTGTGGGGGTGCACACAGAGGCTTCTAGTGAGCTTTCAAGCCTCAACAAGGCCCCTTCCTGTCTCTAAAGCCAGGCGGACACTGAAAGTGTGTTTGTGGCAAGCATGTGTCATGTCTCTGTGATGGCAAATAGAGGGCAAGCTGCACTGGCTTTTGGGGGAGCATATCAGCTTCTAAGACAGCCGGGCTCCCCTTAGCTCCCCTATAATTTGAAACTCGGTTATAAGTAAAGGTCTAAATTATTAGCTCATGTGTTTCTAGCCCAGTTTGGGCGGCGTTGAAGTGCCCCTAGATTGAAACCAGGGACGAAATTTTGATTTCAGAAGTGGGGGGGACACAGCAGGCTTGTGCGGATTTGGGGTGGGGGTGTTATGTAAAGACCCTTTGACACGTCACATGCCCATCTCAATAATTTTTCCATCCTCAATATATATATATATATATATATATATATATATATATATATATATATATATATATATATATATATATATCAAAGTTAAAAAATGTACAACTCTATTATCATTAATATTTATTATCATTATTGAAGTGCAGTTTTGGCTGTTGACAATGGATAGGCCATTGTATTTATTGTTTTGGGTCTTTTTTTATTGTTTTTGGTGCAACATTTTCTAACAGGGAGTGAGATTCTTTTTTTTATTTAATTTTTGTTTGTTATTTTTATTCATTTAGAAGTTCTGGTTCTGGACATTTCAATGTTAAATGAAGGTTTATTTGTTGCATTTTAAAGGGTGTACTTGCATTATTATGATATATTAACATTATATTAGTGGTTATTTTGGTCTAGATAATGTTGACAATGATATCGTTTATCATCAACAATTTGTTGGACAAAATATCGTCCAGCAAAATTTGTTACTTTCCCAGGCCTAGTCAAAAGTATAAAAAGTATTTATACATAAACGGTCCCTCCTGAGATCTGGCCATTATTTCATTTGCTGTGTTAGAGGACATGCTGAACTAATGTTTTACACATGATCATCACCCTAACATTTGTCACAATGATCAATTTTATGTCTATCGTATCTTCATTATTTCAACCTCACCTGTGAGCCTCCAGCCTCTGCTCCATCTCCTCCAGGCTCTCGTCCTCCATCTCCTACAGCCTCTCCTGCTGTACCTTCACCGGTCTCTCCTCCTGCATCTCTGTCAGTCACCTGAAAAAAAGATGCATGAACTATAAACAGTGGGAGATTTTGGAATGGAACAAACAGAAATATTTACAGGATGGTTCTAGTATGATTCACAATTATTATTAATATAATGTGTAAATTATTCATTACCAATTTGAGTGTATAAAAACATATTAAATATGTTTTTTCCCTTAAAAGTGTTTAAACAGTTGTTGCATTTCAACACACAAAAAATAAATGGAAAAAATAAGATAAATCTAATGAAAAGAGTACATCTTTGACATTAAGCTTAAAAAAATCTGTTGACGATGATGATACTGTTCATTTTTCAGAGCTTTTTAATGTGAACATATACATTGCAATAGATAAGTTTACAATAAAGTTAAATGATAAAAGTTTTGAAGTTACACTTCTACTACTACTAGTAATAATAATCATGATGATAATAGTAATAATAATAATAAATAATAATAATTATAATAATACGAATAAATTGTGTCTGAGGAGTCAGTTATGTGGAGGAGATTAGTTTGTAAAAGTTAGTTTTGAGTATGTTTGTGAAGGAGGAGGTGAGTCTGAGCTTAATGCAGCGGTGTCACATGTTCCAACTTACGTTTTGACTTTGAAAGAAGTCTCTTATATCCACTTTCGTTTCTTGACATGCTGCCGCCTGGCTGTGCATAACTACCAAAGACTCACAAATGAACACTTATTCAAATGTTATATAATGGAAGCTGAGCTGAGCTCTGATATTACACAGCGTCTAGTTGACGATGTGACTCAGTACCGGTGTTCCCTAGCGGCTCCAAACTAGCAAAACAACGTGAGCACGTTCTGTTTACAACTTGGAGTGACAGCAGCAACAGCCAATAATACGTTAGCAAGTATCAGCAGAGCCAATAGATTAGCTTTTGGGCGGGTCTAATAGGAAACCGGTTTCCGTTTCGGTCCTAGTGCTCAATCAAATCCATTTAATGGAGCGTAATATTGTTTTTGGACGGAAAAAAGTGAAGGGGACCGAAACTGCCTTTTGAAAAAGTGGGGGGGACATGTCCCACCCGTCCCCCCCCCAAAATTACGTCCCAGATTGAAACCTAGCTCCCCTTAAAGTGCATGAAGTTAAAATGATGACACATGGTTATAGTTGAGCTCTAACCCTAACCCCTAAGTATACGATTGGACTATTAATCTAAATGATAAGTAAGCCTAAATTATAAGTAAGCCTAAATTATAAGGAAGTCTAAATTATAAGGAAGTCTAAATTATAAGGAAGTCTAAATTATAAGGAAAATCTAAATTAAGAGTCATAAAAGATTTTCTGTCCCTTCTTGCAAATAAACCATCTTTGTCACATTGTTTGGGTTCAGTTACTCGCATTTCTCTCATTAAATGCTGTTGGTCCTTCAGATTCTTGAAACTCTTCTTTGCTTCTTCAAACTCTATTTCCTGTTCCAGAGCCTGCCTCGTCAGCTCTACATTTCCAGATCAAGCTGATTTGATTCTTCCTTTTTTTCCTCAAATGCCTCTTGGAAACGACTGTATATTTCTGCAGTCTCCTTTTCAGATTCTATCTTCTGTGTTTCAAAGTCAATCATTTCCTCCTGAAACATTTTCCAATCTAGATTCAGATCTTCTAATCCCTTCTCCAGATCTTTTTGTTTCTCATGTAAACTAAGTTTTTCTGTTTTCATCAGTTCAGCAAACTGATTCTTTTCCTCCTGCAGACTCTGTTTCATCAGCTCTAAATGTTCCCTTTCATCCTGGAGAGTCTGATACCTTTCCAGATAAAGCTGATGTGATTCTTTCTCTTTTTCCTCAAATTCTGCCATCTGTTGCATCAGACTTTCCTTCTCGACATGTAAAATGTCGAACCACTCTTGGAGACGACTGTATATTTCTGCATTCTCCTTTTCAGATTCTGTCTTCTGTGTTTCAAACTGAATCACTTCCTTCTGAAACATTTTCCTAACAAGAATCTGATCTTCTAATACCTTCTCCAGATCTTTTTGTCTCTCATGTAAACTAAGATTTTCTGTTGCAATCATTTTTTCCAACTCCAATTTTTCTTCCTCCAGGCTGTGTTTCTTCATTTCTAAACTATCTCTCTCCTCCTGGAGACCCCGCTGGATGTCTCGTAAAGTCTGATAAGACTCTTTCTCCATCTCTTCAAATGTATTCCTCTGATTTTCCAGACTTTCCAGTCCAGCGTCTAAATATATAAGCCCATGTTGGAGATAATTGTACATTTCACTTATCTCCTCTTCAGATTTAGCATGGGGAAGTTCAAAACTCATCATTCGTTCCTGCAGAAATTCAGTCTGAGCAGGAGGACTTTCTACCTCGTCCTCCGCAGCTGTTTCTGTATCATTTATGTTGGAGGTTTCTTTTTGATTTGCTTCTTCAAACTCTGTTTCCTGTTCCAGAGCCTGCCTCATCAGCTCTAAGCTTTCTCTCTCGTCTTTCAGAGTCTGAAGGACTGAATTCATTTCATGAGGTGAATCTTCCTTTTTCTGCTGAAAGTGAATCATCTCTTCACTCAGACTCTTCCTATCAAGAATCAGATCTTCTAATCCCTTCTTCAAAACCATTTGTTTCTCATGTAAACTAAGTTTTTCTGTTGCAATCAGTTCAACAAACTGATTCTTTTCCTCCTGCAGACTCTGTTTCATCAGCTCTAAATGTTCCCTTTCATCCTGGAGAGTCTGATATTCCATAATAAGCTGATTTGATTCTTTCTGTTTTTCCTCAAATTCTGCCATCTGTTGCATCAGACTTTCCTTCTTGACATGTAAAATGTCGAACCCCTCTTGGAGACGACTGTATATTTCTGCATTCTCCTTTTCAGATTCTGTCTTCTGTGTTTCAAAGTGAATCACTTCCTTCTGAAACATTTTCCTGTCGAGAATCAGGTCTTCTAATCCCTCCTGCAAATTGTTCTGACCGTTTTTTAGACGAAGTCTTTCTGCTTTTATCAGTTCAAGAAAGTGAATATTTTCCTCTCGCAGCTCCTGATTCATCCGTTCTCTCTCTTTTTGCAGGAGTTCCTTATTATTCTGATCCAATTTGTTCTGAACTTCCACAAATTTGAGTTTCTGCTGCTCCAGGCTTTGTTTCTCCAAGTCTAACCATGTGCAGCCTTCCTTGAGAATGCTGTATATTTCTTCATGCTCATTTTCTGTTTCAGCCTTTGCTTTGTCAAAGTTCAACTGATCTTCCTGCAGGGCTTTTGTCTGGAGAATTAAATCTTGAATGCCTTTCTGTAAATGATTTTGACTTTCAGTTAACTTTAGCTTTACTATTTGAAGCTTATTTTTAAAATCCATCTTCTCTTCCTCCAGATTTTGCCAAATAAGTTGTAGATTTTCTTTCTCTTCTTGCAGAATCTGTCGAGCATTTTCAGTCTCCAGCTCTGAGCTAGATTTCCGCTGTTCGAACTCGTCTCTCTCAGCCTGCAAAGCCTGTCTCAGTTCTTCAAGTTTGTTTTCTGATAATTTCTTTGATTCATCAAAATCGAATTTCTCTTTCTCCAGATCTCTTTTCATCTGGTTTATTTCTTCAATCGCGTTTGCTTTGCTGTCTTGCAGCGATTTCCAAAGCTTTTCCGTTTCAGATTTTTTCGTAATCAAATCTTCTAGAAATTCCTGATTTGATGTTTTAACTTCTTCAATCTGCTTCCATTCTTTTTGAATTTCTGTCTTAGCTGTGTCCAAATCTTTGCTTTCCTGCTCAAGCCTCCGTTTCTTTTCTTCTAGACGTTGATTTTCGCCATCCAAATCATCTTTCTCTCTCTGGAAAATGATTTTAAGCTCATCCTTGAAGTCGTTAAATTTTTTCAGAACTTTAACAAAATCCTGCTTATCATTGAAGAGAATCTGTTTTTCAGTTTCTACAGACCTTAATTCGTCCAGTGGATTCTTGCGACTCTCTTGTAAATCCATATGATTTAAGTTGATAGCTTCAGCAGTCATTTCTGCTAGTAGCTAGTTCCTGTCTGGGTGATAACTTTTGGCTTCTGACCTGTTGAGTAGCATGATGATGTCATAAAGGCTCTGTCGGTCTGGACTGTACCTGTCACTACGCATGCGTGGTACCAGAAACCCGATCGGTTCCACGCATGCGCGAAAGGCGTTTACTTCCACTCGAAGCATTTTACGATAGTTACGGGGTCAGAGTATCTGTTAAGATGTTAAAAATAATAAGTATCTATTAAAATGTTTGCAATATTGAAACATTTCAATATAATGTAGATAAAAATGAAAAAAAAAAAAAAAAACGTCGGACCGTACAGATCGGGTCTACCTGATCCGTACCGCGCATGTGCAGATGTTCTAGTCTTCTTGTGATCCGTTCACTGGCAGTTTACTCCGCAGTGTACCAGGATACTGCCACTTGCTGACCGAGCGAATTAGCCCGATTGTAAACTGAATTTGCGTTGTTACAAATCGTGTTTTTATATGCGTGTTAAATTTGACTTAGTGTGTTTATGCTTGTATGTGGGGAGATGATTGATTGGAATTATTTTGATGTTCTGTTGATAATGTCCACTGTAAATTGTCAGTAAACACTGGCTGATTAGTCTTCAGGTAACCTATTACATGTTTGTTTGTTTTTCTCCACACAATAGGTTATATTTTCATTTAAAAGCTGAAAATGTGTCATTGTGATACAGCAGATATTCTTAATTTGCACTACATGTCCTATGAATGTTTTCCAATATGAAATGTAATATATTCTTGCACAAAAGTCAATTTGGCTCATCACCTAAAATTTGTTTACTTTCTACTTTTGTGTTAGAATTCTTAGTTTGCCACTTTGTCTTGAAATAACTTAATTCTTTGTAATACCATAGTGATCATTTTCACAATGTTGCAAAATTAATGTTGTAAAATAGTTTCTCATGGTATTCATAGGTTCAACATTTGTTAAATACAGATTTAACTACACTCATGTTTATATCCATATAAAATAACACAGGACCACTTTATAATTTCCACAGGTTTACTGTAATAATGCGGAACACAAACAACAGATTACAAGAGCATGAACGACAGAAAAAGGATTGAGAGGATGGTTACAACCCAGATTATTTGAATAAGGAGACACATATTGATGGAAATAAAAAGCTTTTTATTTTCAGCATTTCCTTTCTGGCAGTGTGGTACTCTGAGGACCAGGTACAAGCCCAACAGATTCACTTTCTCAAACAGAGCATTACAGTTTTTGCTATAGTACTCCAAGAAGAATGATCAAAAACTCTCACAAAGAAAAACAGGCATCAAAACACAAACCAAGATGTGGGAGAACCACTGATGGGGAACCTGGTCACTACACCCAGGGTGGTGTGTGTGTGTTCTTGTACATACTACATACTGAGGACCATTTTGACCATTTTCCCTACAAAGTGAGGACATTTTTTGGTCCTCACTTTTTTTTAGAAGCATACCAGAAGCTTACTATACCAGTTAGAGGCATAGTGTGAATGAAGTTTTAGTTAAGGTTAGGGTTAGGAAAAGATCAGCGTTGGTTATGGTTACCAAGGCGGACTGTCGGACGCGGAAAAACATGGCGGACCGGCACGGCAGAGGTTCGTAAATACAGACATTTGTATGATTCAGCTCTCAAAGATCACCGTGATCAACATGTTGTTAATAATTCTTGGAGAGAAATAGCTCGCACTGTCGGAAAAGACGAGGACGCTGTTAAAAATGCTGAAATGTCATGTTGTAAACAGTAATTTCTACTTCTACTGTGGTGTAGTGTTGGATGCATGCTGTAGAGCTCCATGCTGCCCCGTTCAGTTTGGGAGAATATTGGCTCACCGCAGAGACGAGCCGCACAAACCATAAACACTGCGAGTTGTGAAGCGCGTTCCAGCCGCGAGCCGCATCACCGCGCGGAAAGTGAATGCGTCAAGCATAAACCAAGGGTTGGGGTATGGGTTAGGCATGGTGAAATCACAAAAATGAATGGAAGTCAATGGAGGGTCCTCACTATGATAGAAATACAGACGTGTGTGTGCGTGCATGTGTGTGAGTGTGTGCGTGCGTGTGGTTGTGTGTGGAGATGGGGGCGGCGACAGAGCGGACACATTAATTGTTCATTTGGCTGCAAACGTGGCTGCAGTAGCCTGGGAGCATCTCCTCCGGGTAAAGTGCCCTTAGTTCTCCTCTTTTTCCTCTGCCAACATATCCTGTAAAAATAATAAATAAAAAAAATCAACCAGAGAAGAATAGGCTCCAAGTGGTATGGTTTTCATTTTGTCATGCATCATTGAGATTTTTATTGTATGTAATGACAACAATATAAGATTATTGAGTGTTGCAAACCTCCGGGGCAGTGTTTGTATTGGTCTCCACATTGAAGGCAGATCTCAATAGAGTACATGTTAAAGTACTGTTCTCTGTACTTTTCTGAGAACCTGCTCCATGTGCAAACACCTGTGGAAAGCAGACGTATAAAACCAAAATGACATTTACATGCTGTCAGTGAAAAACGTGACAACAGCAACAATAACTGTATATATAATTTCATTATTTAGTGAAGTCCTCACTGTGAAGCCACTTGAAGTGTGCTCGTCTTCTGAAACATTCAGTAGACACAAGGTCTCTGAGCATGGAGCACACCAGAGCCAGTTTGAAGATCGCTGTATCCCCTTCGTGAAGAACAACCTCTTCCAATATGTTCATGAGGACACGTTCTGGTAACTGTACAATTTATGTCAGGTGACAATAGTGAAAATACAAAATTTGTCCATAAAGTTTCAGAAATATGAGGACTGAAAACACATTACATTGAGTAGTGTTTCATAACTATTACTTCATTCTACTACTGAATAATGTCTCTGAAGGAGCTGCCTGTGACTATAACTACTAATTCAGTTATATCAACGGATTAAAGAAACAGGAAAATAAATAGATTACCTCCAGTATAAGACACCTGTCGGCCTCAGCCTTTAACAGAAAACATGATTACAGTATCACATTAGGCCAGGGGTCGGCAACCTGTTCCCATCAAAGAGCCATTATTACCCATTTCCCACAGGAAAGAAAACACTGGGAGCCACAGCAGCCGCGGTGTTGTGGGCGGGGCCTACCCTCAGACAGCAGCCAGTACCGGTCGCTCGTGTACGTCAAAGTTATCTTTCATAAAAAGATAATCAATAAAACGATTTATATAACATGGATCCAGAAGTTGTAGCCCGTCTCTGCCTACAACATTTAGATATTTTTCACCCTGTTGGTGGTTTTACTGAGCAGGTGCCACTTTTGTCATACGTTTCTTTTTAAAACATGTTTAGACTGTTCAGAATACAAATCCAGGCTCTGTCACGTTTGATTGTTGTTATTAAACTTTGTAGGTGGGGAAGGTCAGAAAAGGATCCGATCAATTTGTTTTTCCCTCATTTACAGTGACGGAGATAACAGCGTAGTGCGCCTGGCTCTGGTGTTAATCAAGTTTAATTTAATCTGTAACTACAGGGGTCCAACAAAGAATGGCCACGCATCATACTGATGTCTTCGGATGTTTATTTGCTCTCTCTCTCTCTCTCTCTCTCTCTCTTATTATCTTCAGACACCTTGAAAACGTGTGCGCCTCTTGGACCACATGCAGAATGACATTAACGTCGAGGCTGTAGACACATCTGTAGCTATGTATCCATGCTATGGTTGCTATGGTAGCGCTGTCAAACAAACTCTGATCATGTGACCATTACAAACTCTACCTCATACAAACTTTACAGCACGTTACATATTTAACAAACCCATATTTTTTAATCACATATTTTAGACATGTTTTTAAATCAATGTTACACTTTTATCATCTTATCTAGTAATTAAATGAACCAAATTAAGCATCTCTCTATCACAGAAACATTTGAAATAAACAACTTTATTTTAACTGTCTCAGGGACAGTTACACTCCCACCAAATTACTAAGATTTATGAACTGTTAATAATTTGAATAAATCTAGAAATTTTCAGAACCAAACATTTGTGACAATCTTGCAAGTCAAGTCTAACACTTTAACCATCCCATATACATTTACAGAAGTTCCACTGGAACATTCTAATTACTCTCTATTAGGACCACTAATTTATGTATAGGGCGTTCAAGAGTGGATGGTGCTGAATCCTAGCAACTACATTTACTGCTGTATGCCATTTTGAGAACCTTTTGAGTCTCTCCAAGAAGTTCCTGTCCTCTACTACCTTTGTACGTAGTATTTGTGTCGTTTTGACCTCTGGATCACCTACCAGAAGGTCTGGAGTTGAGTCTGGTGTGACAAACCCTCTTTCCCATAGGAAATGAGGTCCAGTGAACCATTTTGAACTGATCAGTTCTGCCACTGTGAGGCCTCTGGAAGCGTGATCTGCTGGATTTTGATTGGTGTCAACATAGTGCCACTGTGCTGGATCAGTTGCTTCTCTGATTCTTTGCACTCTATTAGCAACAAAAACATGAAATCTGTGGGCTTCGTTGTTAATGTAGCCCAAAACCACCCGTGAATCAGACCAGAAATACTCTTGATCAATTTTGAGCTCCAGTTCCTCTTTTAGCATTCTGCTGACTGCTGCAGACACCACTGCTGCTGTTAATTCCAGCCTTGGTATGGTTACAACTCTCGTGGGTGCAACTCTTGCTTTGCCTATGACTAAGGAGCAATGCACTTTGTCTTCACTCATCACCCGGACATATGAGCACTGACCATACCCGCGATTGCTCGCATCTGAAAAGTGGTGGAGTTCTATTCTTTGGACTTTTCCAAGGTTTTCAGGTATAAAGCATCTTGGGATTTGGAGTTGCTGCAGGTTCTTCAGATCAGTGACCCAACTCTCCCATTGTGGCTTCAATTCACTAGGCAGTGGCTCATCCCATCCAATGTTCTTTAGACACATTTCCTGTAGAATTTTCTTTCCTATTAGAAGGAAAGGAGCCAAGAAGCCTAATGGGTCAAACACAGAGGCGATAATGGAAAGAATTCCCCGTCGTGATACTGGTTTCTCCTCCAGGGCAACTTTAAAGGAGAAGGTGTCACAGCTTACACTCCACCTTACTCCCAACACAGTTTGAACTGGGAGTTCATGATGACTGATGTCCACATCCTGGGCTCCACTAGCTCGTTCACTATCTGGAATTGACTCCAGGACTTCTCTGTTGTTGGATATGAACTTGTGAAGCCGTAATCTTGCCTTCGCACACACCTTCCGCACATCTCTCACTAGTTCAATGGCTGCATTCACAGTTTTTACACTGACTAGCCCATCATCAACATAGAAGCTACTTCTGATGAAGTTGGCTGCTGTTGGATGTTCCCTTTCATTTTGGCTCGCAAGATACTTCATTGCATAATTTGCGCAGCCTGGTGAGGATGCTGCCCCGAAAAGATGGACTTTCATGCGAAATTCTTTTGGCTCTGTGTTTGTTTCACCGTTTTCCCACCACAGGAATCGCAAGTAATTTCTGTCTTCTCTGTTTACATGAAATCTGTGAAACATCTTCTCTACATCACAGATTATTGCAATAGGGTGTTGGCGAAATCTGCAGAGGACTCCAGTCAAACTGTTGATGAGGTCAGGTCCGGTCAAGAGGTGATCATTCAGAGCTGTGCCACTGTACTTTGCAGAGCAGTCAAACACAACCCTGATTTTTTCTGGTTTTCTTGGGTGATAGATGCCTTGATGTGGAATGTACCACGTATTTCCTTCTCTGGGATCATCTTCAGCTCTTTCAGCATCACCTTCCTTGAAGACATTGTCCATGAACCTTACATAATCGTCCTTAAATTTGGGGTTTTTCTCAAACTTCCCTTTCAGGTGCTTAAGTCGCACCCGAGCCAGACGCTTATTTTCTGGCAGCTGAGGGCGTGCCTTAAAGGGAAGTGGCATCTCTAGGTGCCCGTCAGCATTCTGGTGTATTTCCTCATTTAGCAGATGCATGAACTGTATGTCATCTTGTGATATGCTCTTTTCTCCAGGAGCTGTGTCTTTGAAATCTGACTCAAGTACTCTGATGATGGTGGCTGGTGTCAGAGGTGGAAGCTCCTTAACAGATAAGCGATGGCACAGGCCTGTCACTTCTGTTGATGTTGCCATTTTTTGTGAACTGCCAACAATGCTCCAGCCCAGGTCTGTCTTGATTGCATATGGCTCTTCGTCACCTCCCGCGATTACTTGCCGTGGTGCCAGTGCTCTAGAACAGTCGTAGCCTATTAACAGCCCGACCTTGCAATCCATTAACTCGGGCATCTCCTGTGCTATTCTGATTAGATGTTTCCATCTCTTGGCAGTTTCAGAGGTGGGAATGTGTGAACGTTCAAGTGGGATGAAGTCTCTGGTATAGGCAAGTGGCAAGTTGATAAAGCCTTTGGAGTAAAACCCTCTAACTCTGAGCCCACTAACCCTGTCGCTCTGAACAATGGAATCTCTTCCCATCATAGTGGTTAGCTTTAACTTCACTGGCTCTAAACTCATCCCCATCTCCTCACACACCTCTTGATCTACAAAAGTGTTGCTACTCTGCGTATCTAATAAAGCATACACTAAGGTCTCTCTCTCTGGAGTGGTGGTTGAAGAAACCCACACAGGGACTATCATGGATGTGCTCCCACCATCTCCTTTGTCCATGCAGCAAGAAAGTGCAGATATGTTTTCTTCTGCCTGCATTCTATGTGATAACGTGTTCACTGCAGTTGTTGGACGGTCTTCATGAAGAGCTGTTGGATGATGTTTTTTACAAACCTCACAAGTCGCCTTGCGCTTACAGTCTTTTGAATTGTGTCCTCTTTTGAGACAGCCAAAACACAGGTTATTGTCAAGTATGAACTTTCTCTTGTTTTCCACATACATTTGAGCAAAGGTCTGGCATTTATGAATAGAATGGCTTTCTCCACAGCAAATACATGTGACTGAGTTTGATGGCAAAGCATGTGCTTTTCTTTCTATATCAGCCTCATTTGAATTGTTCTCCACTTTGCTGTATCCTGTGGTTGTTCTGTCTGATGCTTCCACACTTGTGATGTATGCATTAGCCTTTGGATGCTTTATGTCTCTAGCTTCAGTGTGTTTCAAGGCATTAAATGATGTTATGGGATTGCATGCAACTTCCGCTTCTTGTGTAACAAAGTCAGCAAATTGTTTGAAGCTTGGATATTCTTCTGTTTGCCGTAACTGCACCGTGACATGACGATTCCAACGAGAAGTCACCCAGTCAGGAAGTTTTCGGAGCAATTTTTGATTCTCTTCACAGTCATTTAACACCTGCAGTTCTTTGATGTATGGCATAGCATTGCTGCAGGCTGTCAGAAAATCACTGAATTGTCTCAGTTTAAGTGACTCTCTTGAACCAATCTTTGGCCAGTTGTTCAGTTTTTCCCTAAATGCACGCTGAATTACAAAGGGGTGACCATACCGAGCATTCAAAGCTTCCCAAGCTTGGTCATATGCTTGGTCATCTTTTCTGTAAAAGCTTCCCTCCAATACAGACTGTGCTTCTCCACTGATGTATTTGCGTAGGTAGAACAACCTGTCGGCTGGATTTGTGCATCGCCGTTCTATCAAAGCTTTGAAACTAGTGCTCCACTCTAAGAACTTAAGTGGGTCCCCTGAGAAGACTGGGGGTTCAGGTGCAGGAAGTCTGGTGAGGACCATTGTGTCATGCAATGCTTGCATTAACAATGACTCATTGTTATTGTTTGGTTGTTCATTGTTATTATTCTTGTAGGTTTGCTCTGGTACGATTTCTTCAGGAGCTAACGGAGGACAACTGACTACCTCACTGTGTGCACTTTTGACTTCTCCACAGACTTCACTTGAATCTGCTTGAGAATAAGCTTTTAGCTTTGCAGTTATTACCTGAAGATCTCGCTGATTTTCTAGTCTTTTAAGCTCTTGCCTTTGTGTAGCAATAGCCTCCTCCATTTCTATCTCGGCCTGCTTCGCAGCAAGCTGTGCAGCACACTCTGCCTTTTTTACATTGATGCTTTGCTGCTCCGATAAACAGCTTGAGCGGTGGCTACGTACTGAAGGTCGGGAGATTGTAGTCCCAAATATTGACTGAGCATATTCTCTGTCTAGCACCATGTGAAGTCTTGCATTTTCTGCCTTAGCATCAAACTCTTCTTGCCCCACTTCACTCATACGTACTTTAAGTATTCTCATCAAGTCCGCTGTTACTGCTGTGCAGGAATCAATTTTTCTTCTAGTCTCAGTAGAAGGGGCTGCCTGCGATCTTATATCTTCGTATGTATTTTTCACTTGTGACTCCAGCCCTTCGACAGTATCCATCATGTCAGCTAATTCCTGGTCAGAGCACTCTTCTTTAAGTTTGGAACGTGTAGCTTTAACTTGTTCTTTCCAGGTTTCATATAGTTTGATAAATTTACTCTCCTTCTGAGAAAACTCTTGTTGCTTAAGTTCTAACATTTTGGGTGTTAACTTTCGCTCCCTTGAGGATTTCCTGGGCTCTAGTCTTGAAGTATTAGTGGCAGGCTTCTGCTTTATTTCTATTTTAGCATGAATATCACCTATGAGTAACTCCAATTTCTCCCTTTCAACATCATCAGTCTGTAATTTCAATTGTTCATTCAATCTACTTAGCTCTTCCTTAAGGGAATACATTTGTTCTCAGAATTCTTCAATATGTGATTTTTCTGTGTTTACTGACATTGCACATGTTTCAGCAAACCTGCTGCATAACAAGTCGTTGCTATATGTATATGCGATCCTGGCAAACATATAATTCTCAATACAATCTGATTCTTGCAACAATTTTTCTTAACAACACCCCTTGTTAGTCTTCCTTTAAGTTGAACTCTTAAACATCATTAGAACACTTTAAACAACACCACTTGTAAATTAAAGGGGAACAGTTTGGCTATGACAGGCTGGTTACCTTTAGCTCAGTACCTTTCTCATACAAAATAAATTATTATATTAATAGACCTCTCCAAACTTTACTAACAGCTGTGGATATATCACAGCCCAACCTGACGTTGACTGCAGAGCCGTTATCTTTTCCTTGAAGACGGGGGATTATACAGTTTTTGCTGTGTGCAACGGCAGAGTTGCAGACGGTTGCAGAGCTGTAGTTTATGATGGTCAATGTCGCCCTCTATTGGTGAAGTCGTGGTCGTTGCCGTCCAAAGCGCCAATAATGATGTTTCCTCTTTCCGAGTTTGCAAGCCTCCTTTCCGCTGCGTTCTCGAACCACACACACTGCGCTGTCACGAACCTTTCTTCTTTTCTTCTTCTGAAACATTCACTGCTTCTTACGTTGAACTTCCAGGCACGTTGGCGGTACGTTTTCACTGTAACTACAGGGGTCCAACAAAGAATGGCCACGCATCATACTGATGTCTTCGGATGTTTATTTGCTCTCTCTCTCTCTCTCTCTCTCTCTCTCTCTTATTATCTTCAGACACCTTGAAAACGTGTGCGCCTCTTGGACCACATGCAGAATGACATTAACGTCGAGGCTGTAGACACATCTGTAGCTATGTATCCATGCTATGGTTGCTATGGTAGCGCTGTCAAACAAACTCTGATCATGTGACCATTACAAACTCTACCTCATACAAACTTTACAGCACGTTACATATTTAACAAACCCATATTTTTTAATCACATATTTTAGACATGTTTTTAAATCAATGTTACACTTTTATCATCTTATCTAGTAATTAAATGAACCAAATTAAGCATCTCTCTATCACAGAAACATTTGAAATAAACAACTTTATTTTAACTGTCTCAGGGACAGTTACATAATCTCTTTGCAACTATTTTCACAAGAAAACAGAACAGTTAAAAGCAGGGCTTGTGTTGACCGGACAGTTCCCGTATTTGACCGTTTATTTTGATGGAGAAAGAATAGAAAGAATTACCCCGACGCAAGCAGACAAACTGACATTTTATTCGTTTCGCACATCGCAGATGTAGCTAAATCACTCAAGAAAATACTCCCATCTGAACATCTGAGCTGGACACTGCTCAGCGCAGCTCACTGTCAGCGCGTACTACATAAGGTACACAGCGAGCTGAAGATGTGGAGAGGGGCTTGGAGCGCGTCGCAGAACCAGAGCGCATGCGGGAAGATTCCTCCGACTGAAGCGAGACTTGTCACTTAGAAAATGTTCCCTGATTATGAAACTTTGGCTGAGTAGTGCTTGTTCCTGTCTCCAATGTGGCGACACATCCAGGAGCCGTCTGAGGAGAAGCCCAGAATCTCATATCCTCTTCAGCTCAGAAAGCGCCTATGATTACGCTCAAGCATGACCCGTCAACCCGGTCTCACAGTAAGACCGGGTTGGAACTGTTCAGGTTTACGTAGACAATCTTTACATTTAGAATTGGCATACAAATGTAAAATTAATGCAGTAAAATATAAAGCATTTTATTTAAATATCCGTTCGTTATTTTACAAGCACAGAGAGCCGCATCAGATGGATGGAAGAGCCGCATGCGGCTCCAGAGCCGCGGGTTGCCGACCCCCGCATTAGACTGAAATGAAGATTACCACCATGTATGTAAATCTGCATTGTGATGAATAGTCTCAACATTGTGTGGTTCTGTCCTACAAATAGTTATCTGATTGTTGTCCTCTCTCACCGGTCTGATTAGACTTGGAGGAGGTTGCCTTTGGTACCCTGAAGACAGGCTGGAGAGTTCCCTGGAGGAGAAGGGATGCTTCTTCTGTCCAGAAGGCAAATCTTTGTCCATGCCTTTAGAAAACAACGCCAGTCTGAATGGACTCTAGTTGTGTACTGCTGCTTTCTTCAGTATGTTCAGTCTCAGGGTTTACAGTAAGCCCCTTTCACAAACATTTGTTTGACCTGATGTCTTGCCTGAACCAAAGCTGCAAATATGATGGTGCCAGTTTGTCTAAAGTGCCTGCCATACCCCTCAATGCCGAATCTCTCCATCAGCTGAATACACCACCACAGGCGAATTGCTGGCATTTCCTCCTGAAGACAAATATAATATAATGTTTATGAAGACTGGACACTGGCACAGATACTTTGGTGGTACTGTCTGAAAAAGCTTACCTCTGTGAAAGATGGTGGGGATGAGGTGCAGATGCAGAGAGCATACTGCAAAGTAAAATCAGTCTTTAACATGTTAAAATGTTATATTCAAGTAATGGCAAGTAAATTCTCACCATCAGCATAAAGGTGCCGCAGCAATTTCCCATGAACTGCTGGGGAAAGAACTGTAAAAAGAAAAATGTTTCATTAAATGAAGAGAGCTGACATGTACCTGCTAGTTTTTAATTGCATTATGATGCACCTGATGAGCTTTCAAACTTTTGCACTGAAAACATACCTCAAGGTCTCTTCCTGTTTTCTCCTTCCAGAATCCAGAGTCAATGAAGGCTGCGACTCTCCTGGCATTGTAGAGAACACACATAACACACCAATCAAATGTTTGCCATAAAACAAAAATAAATTCATGTTGTAGGGACGCAAAAATACTTTTTCAAACCGATACGATACAGATAATTGGATCCGAGTACTTGTTGATACCATGTACCAATGCTAATAATTCTACCACACAATGGAATGGAATGAATCGGAAGGCAGTTTTATTTTCTTCAGTGCTTGTTACAAATAATGGTGAATTAGATAAAAAAAACATATTAGTTAAAATGACCACAAAATTCAAAGTTCAAGTGATAAATAAACATTTTCTGTGAAAGTTTTGCAGTTTCCACATTTAAAGTATCAGTTCATAGTATCAGTTAACTAAACTATACAGATACGAGTTAATTAGAACAGTATTGGCCTGGATATCAGTATTGGTGCATCCCTATCATGAAGTAGCCTTAGAACGAGGCTGCTTCCCAAACCTTTAAGCCTAAGAACAAGGCTGCTTTTAGACGATCTTTCCAAAGAACACAAGAGGCCATTGAACAAGGCCAGAACAAATTTTCATTTTAGTGTCAACCCAAATGTGGTTCGGTAGAGATCATCTCCAAAACCATCAGGGCCAAGTGAGTCCAGAAACAGTATCTGTCTCTCAGCTACCAATATAGCCAGAAATAGACATGTTAGCATCATCCATGAAAACACGACATGTCAACCTCTGTTATTTTCTATCAGATGAAAAAACACAGAGCAAGAAAGATCAAGGGCACTCACACAGAGCAGATAATGGTCAGCTTCACCTGCCTGCCGACTCCAAGCAGGAAAAAGCAGGATGTCCTTGGACCTAAAGTTTTCCTACATGTATTGGTACAAATTAGTAAACATAAACATGCAGGAGTAAAACCAACAAAAACATACCGGCAAGCAACGCAGCAGGTTGACTTGTGGATCCCTCCAGGTGGCCACGACATAGAGGTCAGCAATGTGAACATCTTTTCCCTAAAGGAAACACACAAAACAGCTAAATCAATACACAACAACCATTGATGGCTATAACCAAAGAAAAGGTGTACCATTACGACAGATTACGTCTTTGTGCAGCTTCCCCCACAATCTTCAGACAAGCGTTCCCAATCTGAAAGAAATAGCAAAAAGCTGTAGAATCAGTTCCATTTACTATTCTTAAAATCTTGCATTTCATTATCTTTTCTCTGTAGTACATTAGACTAAGTAACAAGATGTACTTACAGTAGATTCCATGGACTGTTCCAAACCCAGGCTCCAAAAGTCTTCCCGAGTTAGGCAGATTTTGTCTTCCTTCACTAGGAGTTCTCCTGGAGGTCGGTTTTGGTCCAAGACATATTCCACCTAAATGAAGAAAATGGCAACGTAATGTATGGATAGTAACCTACACAGTGTCAATAAAGCCAAAGCTTGATCAGTTTAAATACTATTTTTCAAGTAAAAATATGCCCCAAACTAGTTAACCGTGGCTCCATGTCAAGTGGACTAAAGAAACAAAGGGGGAATAAATCAAATCGCTGGAGAAATGTTTATTTCCATTTATACAACGTTTACATTCAATACAGGGCGCCATTTTACATTGTTTATTTATTTTTGTATCAAGGCTGTAGCATAAAGATAGCCAGTTCTTACCACAATCCGTCTTTCAATCGCAAATATTGCAAAAAAGATTAATATATCCTCATTGTGAACGTTTAAGACAAATAGCAACACTTAAAACAACTTCCGAACTGGAAAAACTAATATCCGCGATAAACATCTGTTTAAGTACCGGAAGAGGTTATCTCTGCTTTCTGAATGTCCATATTGCTAGATATGCTGAGTTTTAGGGCGAAATCCCGGGGAATTTCGTCTAGAAATGCAATTACCCTAACCGTGCGCGATCCCGCGGTGGCTAATCAGTTTTTGGCAACGAGTCGATTTATGGCACAACACCGGCAGCACATGCACGCTTTGTTGTTTACAACCAAAACTTTCTTGAAGCTAAAGCTGAAATAATGGCCAAAGGAGGAGACGGCAGTGCTCAGGAGGACCTTTTTTATCCCTCAAAGAAGACAAAGTGGGAAGTACGGGCATCTTTTGGATATTTGAAGAATGCCGAGGGACAGTTTATAGAAGACGGCTATCCTGTTTGCAGCACGTGCAGAAAATGTGTCTGTGAAAGGCAGCTACGCTTCAAATCTCATGACACATCTGCTTGACCATCACCCACAACTCTACAGTCAACGCAAGGCAAGCTAACGTTAGCGTTTTAGCTAAAATGCGTGATCCGAGGATTTGGGTTGAGGGAGAATGCAACGAGTCGCTATATAAAGCAGCCGCAGCGCCGCTACCTGCATATAAACCGTGTCGCAGACACCCCCATGTTGAAATGACGCTATGCATTACGGGGCTCCCAGGGGCAGATAAGAGTTGGTCTCTCTCCGAGAATAATTATGAATGTAACAGTGATTACTGCCTGATGACATTTTCCCACATCTGCAAAGCTCACTGGAACACAAACCGAGGACAATATTTTCCTGATATAGGGTTTATTACTCAAGTAAGGGTAAAAAAGTATCTGATTAGATGGCTACTTGAGTACTGAGTATCATGGGTGATTCTGCAGGTTGAGTGCTTTGCAGTCTTCTTTCTGGTTTTATTGTATTTCTGGTACTTCTTGTTTTATTTTGTGCATTCACTTCCTGTCTCATTACAGGCAGCTTCACGACATGAGGCCCCTCACTAATCTGCCTCATGTCTTGCACCTGGGTCATGTCTAAAAGTTAGTTTAAATTTGTCCCTGAATGGAAACGTTATTTTATATGAAAAATATAAAATCAAAGTCGACTATGGGAGTGGCTTCAGAAATGACTTGTTTTGCCTTTTCTCCTAAGTGTTGTTTGGTCCATCTTTGTGGTTTAGGCTCATGATCTGACATGCTACAGGAC